AAGAAGAAGAAGAAGAAGAAGAAGAAGAAGAAGAAGAAGAAGAAGAAAAGGACTGTGGGGTCCTTGGGGCTCTCTGAGCTTGGGTCGTTTACTTGCAGACGTTTCATGACCCAACTAGGGAACATCACCAGTGCTAGAAGAGAGTGGGGTTTGCAGAGTGGGAGGTCTTAAAGCATGCTGGCTGGGGAATTCTGGGAGTTGAAGTCCACAACTCTCAAAAGTGGCCACGGTTGGATATCCCTGCCCTACGTGAAGCTTTTAATTTACCGGGCCGGTGCCAACTCCGCTCAAAACAAGAGGACTAGCCCCTTAGGCGTCCCAACGGATTGGAACCCGGGCTAGAGACCTCAGCATTTGTCCCCAAACCAATGGCTCCTCCTGGCCCTTCTCGGAATAAAGCCGGGGTCAGGCTGCGGCCCGGCCGGATGTCCGCCTGCCCCCAGGACACTCACCTGCTTCAAGTCCGCCTCCACCTTTTGCTGGCGCTGCAGCCGGTGCTGGGCCTGGCACAGCCGCTCCTCCAGGGCCCTCACCTGTGGGCACAACCCCCAGAGGGGGCAGTCAGGGCGGGAGCTGAAGGTCGGCCCAGAGGTGGGGGGGGGGAGGACGGGACCCCAGCCCACACTTACCTGTTTCACCTGGCCGGTCAGGACCTTCGTGTGTTCGGTGTCCTTTTGCAGAAGCAGCTCCCTCAATTTTCCAACCTGTGGGGGGGGGAGGGGTGAGAAGCGGCCATGAGCCTGGAGAGAGGGGGCACCCGGGCATGCGCAGAGTGCCCGCTCTGCTCCGCGAGCCTGGAAGGACTTGTGGTTGGTACTGAGCGCGATTTAGCAGGCGGTCAAGCTGTTTGCACAGGAAAGAGATTCCACGCTGGCAGAATTTATAGCATTTGTTCAATGACCGTCTGAAGCAGCGGCCGCCAAGCTTGGCCCCTTTAAGACGGGTGGACTTCAGCTTTGCTGGCTGGAGAATTCTGGGAATTGAAGTCCACCAGTCTTAAAAGTGGCCAAGTTTGGGGACCCCTGAAGTTACAACGGCACCAAAGAAAGAGACTTATGACCCGTTTTCACACATACGGCCTTTCTCGCACCCCGTGAACATGAGGTCAACATTCGAAGGCTGGGCACCTGGCCTGAATTGATGACACTTGCGGTGTCCCAGGGCAGGGTGTCAACACAAATGGAAGCCCCAAATTTCGGTTCCTAAGCGAGGCGGTTGTTTCGCTGTCACGACCTTTCTTGCCCCCGTTGCTCAGTGAATCCCCTAACTTAGTCACAGGGTGATTCTGTGAATCTGGCTTTTTTATTCATTTTATCTGCTTGTCAGAAGGTCGCTAAACGTGACTCCGGGACACTGCAACCGTCATAAATGTGAGTTACTTGACAAGCGTCCGAATGCTTCAACGTGCAAAACGGTCGTCAGTCACTTTTTTTCAGTGCTGCAAGTCGAGACTACCTGTAGTAGTTCAAGCATCTCGTTCTGGTGTTGTGGTTCGCCGGCAGCAGACGTGGACGGCTGAGGCCACGGCCTCGGATGTGGGGCCTGCGTGTGATGCAGGGATGGGGCCAGGACCCTCAGGGGGTGGAGTGCTGCCTTCGGAGCTTGTGGGGGCTGCCAGCAGTGAGGAAGAGGCCCCCGAGGAGCCTGTGCGCATGCACACAGGGCTGCTCGAAGGAAAGAGCAGCTGCAGCCGCACGGGCGACTCGGGAGTAAGGCTGCAAGGTCATGGCCCCTCCCTTAAGAGATAAAAGCCAGCTGAGAATCGGGAGTTCTTTGCAGGAAGCAAAGACGTTTTTGCACTCAAGTCTTGTGGACGTTCGGACTCTCTTAGTTTGCGTTTGGAGACTTTTTTTGTGTTTGAAATAGTTCTTGGCAACTTTATCCAGTGTTCTTGGCAACCTTGCACCACCTTGGCAAGGCTCGTTCTCATCAGAGACGATGAGTTCGAAACAGCCTTTGAACCAGGAAGGAACGGAATTCGTAAAGAATCCTTAAAAGGTTACCTCTGTTTCCTGTTTGTTTCCTTCGAACCAGGTTCGGGTCAGAACATCTAGATATGAGATTCCAGGTCAGAGGTGGGCAGGTATGTCCCCCTTACGACCTGTGGACTTCAACTCCCAGAAGGCTGGCTGAGGAATTCTGGGAGTTGAAGTCCACCGCCATAGGGTAGGAGATGACCAGGCTGAGCCCAATGGAAGGGGGGGGGGTCATAATTACTAAGGTATTAAGATTTAGAAACCGACCAGCAGTGAGCAGCTGCACGATGCTGGGAAGCTGATGTAAGTCTGGCTGACGTAACAAGAGTGATCCAGCAGAGTAGATGGGTATTTCCCTTTAAGGCTGGAGAGTAAGGATCCCCTTTAAGAGGTGGTGCATAGATAAAAGGCAGCCATTAGAGGGGTGGGGGTCTCTTTCCTCGGGGCCAGCTTTCAGGGCAGAAGTTCTCTGTGCGTTAGGAAGAAGAAAAGCTGGCTTGTAAAGGTATTGTGCCTACCACCTGTACGTTGTCTGTATAGACCTGTCATATATTAAACCACTGTTAATGTCTAAGTCTCTCTGTGCTGTGTGTTGCTCCTGGGTTGTCTCCTACAGGTAGTCATGCCGCCAAATAATTCCCGAGTCCCTCCGTGCCCGCAAGAGATCGAAGTCCAGCCCAGCTTCAATGCCTTTCTTATCTTCCGCTCATTTGCCTTGACTGTTAGTTGGCCAGATTCTTGTAGGGAGCTTAAGCGGGCAATCCGTTTTGATAAAGCATTTGAACTGCCTGGACCTCTTGAGTTGCCCGGCACCCACCTGTTATGACTCCCCTTCAAAATTCCAACGAACAGAACAGAAAGCAGCCATTTCACAATTAAATCAAACAGAAAGAAGTCTTACAAGATAACGGCTGGCAGGAATCTCAATCCACAGCATAAATCTTTACTCTGTCCGGCAAACCAGTCCTGGCAATAAATCTCCAGTCTCAGAGCTTCTTGCTGTAACGTCCTCACTCAAATAGTCACTTCGTTCCTGGCAAAATGTACCAGCCCAGCTGTGTCCTTTTATACTCATTGAGGCAACGTGCTCATTTACTGACTCGCCCTCCTCATTCGCTCCAGCTGATTTTGCCTTCTCAACCGTCTTCTGTTTTTTACATTTAACCACAAATTTTCCAAGTTCTCATCTCCACTAGAAGACTCTCTCAGAACTTCCCTGTCAGCCATTCCCGGCTGTTGATCAGATAAGGAACCAGAGGAGGTCAAAGGTCCTGACAATTCTAATACATCAGGTCTGTCGTCCTTTGTCACGTCCATCTCCTCATCCTGGTTACCAGTCCAATCACTGAGCCAGGCCGGCTCATATTTTTCTGCCATGACCTCCTCACTTGAACTCATATCAATCACAGGAGCTGAATCCAAGCCCGGAGCCACAACACCCACCTGTGTTCCAGACAGGAGGGCACCCCGAGAACCTAAGCCCCAGCAAGGGTCCCCAGAGCCAGGACCGGTGCAACCCGCGCCCCCACCTCGCCCCCCCCAACCCTTAGCACCTCCTGCCTCAGCCAGATCTTCTCCTGGGCGTCCGGGCGTTGGCTCCCGCTCATTTCCTCCCAGAGGGTGGCGGCGGCCGTCTCTGACTTCTGCAGCTCCAGCTTCAGGTGGGCTACCTCCTCCCGCAGGGTCTGGGGGGGGGGGAGAAAGGCCGGTCAGTCGCTGGCGGGGCAGGGCAGGGAGCCCGATAACCCCAAGCCGCGCCCCCCTCCCCAGTCACGTACCGCCGCTTCCCTCTTCTGATCGCTGAGCTGGCATTCTTTTTCCTCCTGCCGGCGCAGCAGCTCCTGAAGCTCCTTCTCGCTCTGGGGGGTCGGGAGAAAGAGGGGGGGGGTCTTTGGGGCAGCCGAAGCCTGCCCAGCCTTTGCGTGGCTGGGGGGGCAGGACAAGCAGGCCCCGACTGCCCCCTTCCAAGGGCTGAAGGCGGAGTGCGCCAGGATGCAGGTGGCCTGGCTAGATGACCTCTGGAGGCCTCTCTGAGAATCCCAGCTGGGAAGGGCCCTGCTAACAACCCCCCCACCCACCCCCAAGACTGGATTTTACTGAAATACTTTTAATCACAACATCAAAATACAAACTTCACAGGAAAAAGAAAACATACCAGAACAAAGCAAAACTAAACTCTGCTGACCGGAGAATTCTGGGAGTTGGAGTCCCCAGTCTTAAAAGTTGATTCTGGGATTCTGGGAGTTGGAGTCCCCAGTCTTAAAAAGTTGACTCTGGGATTCTGGGAGTTGGAGTCCCCAGTCTTAAAAGTTGATTCTGGGATTCTGGGAGTTGGAGTCCCCAGTCTTAAAACAAGGGCCTTCAAACTCGTTGACAGCGTCAATAAGACTTGTGGACTCCAACTCCCAGAATCCCCCCTCCATTCCTGTTAGCTCAGGAATTCTGGGAGTTGAAGTCCACAAGTCTTACTGACGCTGTCAATGAGTTTGAAGGCCCTTGTTTTAGAAGTTGCCCAGTTTGGACAGCAGAGGGCTGGAGTGTCCCAGGCCACGCGCCCCCCCCATCCCCGGCGCACCTGGATTTTTATGTGCAGCACCTTCCTGAGCTTCATTTGGGCGGCTTGGGCGGCGTCCATCTCTGCCTGGTGCTGCGCTTGCGAGGTTTGCAGCTGTTGCTCCAGCTGCAAACTGCCGGGAGAAAGGGAGCTCAGGGCAGGGCAGCTCCCGCCCCGGAGGAGGGCTAGTAAGACCCTCCCTGCAGCCCCTCCCTCCGGCCAGCGCCCCTGCCAATGCTCACCTCTGCTCCCGCAGCTCTGCTAGGTGCTCTCGGCAACCCTTGGCGAGGAGGTGGAGCTCCTCCACGGCCAGGCGCAGGTCCTGGGTGTGAGCGGCCAGCGAGTCTTTAATCTCTGCAGGGAGAGTCCGGTCAGGGAAGGAGGTTAGGAAAAGGGGTTGCCCCCCAGTGAGGAGTCAGAATAACTAGGATCACAGAGTCGGGAGGAACCCTGGAGGTCTTCTAGCCCAACCCCCTTGCTCTTCTTAAAACTCCCCAGCGATGGAGCATCCACAACGCCCACAGATTCATTCATTGATTAGCAGAATCACAAGAGTTTGGAGGGACCTTGTAGGTCATCTACTCCAACCCCCTGCCTAAGCGGGAGACCCTACACCATTTCGGACAGGTGGGAGTCCAGTCTCTTCTTGAAAGTCTCCAGGGATGAAGCTCCCACAACTTCTCTTCCACTGGTTGATAGTTCTTGTTGGGTATATGAATACTCCAACTGGTTTGGTTGAATAAATATGTAAACCTAGCTTAAAGTGCTATGTAGCTTTAAGCACAAGAAACTGCAATGTCATTGTGGGTGCGGTTGCAGGCAGCCATATAGGTAGGAGGGGAAACGTAATAGCCCCGGCTTCTGGATGCAACTGTATGAGTCCGGCTTCTGGATGCACCTGGTTACTGTTCCAGGTCTGCTGCCTGCTGTGTATTGAAACGTCTATCTGCTTACTCTTGGAGGCTACTGTGCCAGATACAATTTCACCTGAACACAAGGACTGTTTGCCTAGTGAGCTGAGGATTCAGCATTGTCTTGGTGAGAAAGGTATCATAGAGAGAAGTTAAACAAGCAGATAAGAACTTTGTACTGACTGTAAATGGACTTGATAACTGGATTGATAAACTGGATACTGACATATGGACTGAATGACTATTCTTAATCTCTGTATGAATTAAATACCTATTTAAAAACCACAAACAGTGTATTTGTCTCAAGTGTGTGTATACTCTAGGGCCCAGCCTCACTCTCATTTGGCTGCCTGGCTTGACTGCTGCTGTGCACTCAGCTCGGGGGTTTGTCCCCAAACACTAACAGTTCTCACTCTCAGAAAATTTCTCCTCATTTCCAGGTTGAATCTCTTTCCCTGTTCAGTTTCCATCCATTCTTCCTTGTTTGGCCTTCGGGGGCTTTGGAAAATAACTTGACCCCCCGCTTCCTCCTCTCTGGGGCAGCCCCTCCCTCAAATATTGGAAGATGCTCTCCTGTCTCCCCAGGTCCTTCTCTTCCCTAGACTAGCCAGGCCCAGTTCCTGCAACCGTTCATCACAGGTTTTATCCTCCAGTCCCCTCATCCTCCTGGTTGCTCTTCTCTGCACTTTTTCCAGAGTCTCAACACCTTTTTTATAGTGTGGTGACCAAACCTGGATGCAGGACTCTAGGTGTGGCCTTACTAAGGCTTTATAGAGGGGTGTTAGTACCTCTCTTGATTGTATCCCTCCGTTAATACAATTTAGGACTGCATTAGCTTTTTTGGCGGCGGCTGCACACTGTTGGCTCCTATTTAGCTGGTTGTCCACTAAGACTCTGAGATCCCCCTCCCAGTTCCTGCTATTGAGTCCAGTTGCACCCAGTGTCCTTTTGGTTTTCCTTGCCTAAGTGGAGGACTTGACTTTTCTCCATACTGAATTTCATTTTGTTAGATATGGCCCAGGGTTCGAGTCTGTCAAGATCCCTCTGGATCTTGAGCCTATCATCTTCTTGGGTGTTGGCTATTCCTGCCAGCTTAGTATCATCTTAGTAAATTTGGGTAAGTTCTCCTTCTATTCTACTCTTCTAGTCCAGCCCCCTGTTCAAGGAGATCCCCCCCCATGACAGAGTTGGAAGGGAGGCTGGAGGTCTTCTAGTCCAGCCCCCTGCTCAAGCAGGAGACCACCCCCCCAGACCAGGGGTCTCCCACCTTGGCCCCTTTAAGACTTGGGGACTTCCACTCCCAGAATCCCCCCAGCCAGCAAAGTCCCCAAGTCTGAAAGGGGCCAAGGTGGGAGACCCCTGCCCTATTCCAGTCAGGACAAGGGGCTATTCAGTCTCTCTTCTTAAAAAGCCTCCATCTTTGGAGCCCCCGCAACTCCCAGTGGCAAGCCGTTCCACTGGCCAACCGTTCCTACCTGAGAGCTGGGGAGGGGGCGCCGGAGCTGCGCGCATAAATGCCGTGGTCTCGCTCCAGAGGCCGGGGGTCTTTGGGGCTGAAAGAGAGCGACATTTCCTCCTTGGAGAAACGGCCCCAAATAGCAGACCTTGCATCGAAGCCGTGCTCGATTTACAACCAGCGACCCTTCGAAGTTGCGTCGTTGGAAAGAGGCATGACTTATGGCCGTTTTTCCACACTTACGGCCACTGCAGCCTCCCCCCCCCCAGGGTCACATGACCCAAACCCAGACTCTGGGCAACTGACTCATATTTATGACAGACACAGTGTTCCTGTGTGTGTGTGTGTGTGTGTGTGTGTGTGTGTGTTGGGAATCCCCTTTTGTGACGTTCTGAGCAAGTAAGTGGGGGGAGCTGCATTCACTTAATGACTGTATAACTAACTGAAGAGCTGCAGCGATCCACTTAATAACGGTGGGAAGAAATGTCACAAAATGGGGCGAAAACTCACTGAACCAGGGAAATTTGGGGCTCAGTAAGTCAAGGACTATCTGCGCAAAGGCAAATATCCGGAGGAGGTTGTCAGGATGACGTCACTTTAACCCCATTTCAATTCTGAGTCTTGAGCCAAACTTGCAAAGGATTTATTGGGAGTTAAAAGGTGAAAACCCTGCCTGGGTGCGTCCTAATTCATATCCTCCAATGGGACATGTCCCTAGCCCAGAGTCATCCATCAGGCTCTCCAGTTAGAATTTTGCATAGCAGAAACTTCAGTCACCTAGTTACTATCTTTAAAAAAAAAGATTTATGGAATGCGCTTTCAGTTTGCAAACGGCCGCGTTGCTCCCCCCTCCCTTTCCGTGGGCAGCTCCAAAAAAAGACCCTAGCAATATTTTATGAGTTGAAATATTTTTTGAGAAATATTTCCTGAGTTGGCAGAGGCCTCCTTCCGGGGTCGCTCACCTCTCTGGGACGCGGCTCGAAGGACGCTCTCCACCAACGAGACCCCCGGGCGGTGCGGGGTGTGCCGGGCCGGGGTGCGTGTGCTGCTCTGGGGGGCCACTTGGGCTGCCTGGGAAACAAGCCAGAATTGAGACACACGCACACACACAATGCATGAGAAAACCGGGTTGGCACCCCCAAAGGCCGGAAAAAGGCGGCCCCTCCTACCTCGCCCGGCCTGGCCATCTGCAGAATGTCGGCAGCCTCCAGGAAATGGGTGTGGAGACCCCCCAACTCCCCCACGGCCCGGGAAAGCCCCTCCAGGCCCGCTTGGGTGTCCTGCAGCTCGGCCCTGGCGCTGCCCAGCTCTGCGCGGAGGGACTCCTGCTCCTGCCTGGGGGTGGGTGGGAAAGAGAAGAGGTCAGAGGTCGGCTGCCCACCCTAAGGGGCTCTGAGAGGCAGGGGGTGTGGGAGCCCGGCCCTTACTGGAGCTCCTGGTGGGCGTCCTTGAGGTCCTCCAGCTGGCTGCCTCGTTCCCGCAGAGCGGCGAGGGTGGCCTTCAGCTCTTCTTCAGTCTCGCTCAGCTGGCGGCGGGCAACCTCGTTCTCCTGCTCAAGAAACTGCGGGGGGGGGGTAGAGGGGTAGAAGGGCACCCCAAAATAAGGCCCATGGCAGCCCAGGTCTCCCCCCCTCCCCCTCCCAGCTCCCCCGCCAACCTACCTCCCGGCAATCGGAGGCCTCCCGGGCGTCGCGCTGGGCGCTGTCCCTCTCCTGCTGCGCCCGCTCCTTCTCCCGTGCCAGCCTGTGGAAGAGGAGCCCCCACCCCAAGCCATAGTTAGGGGAGGGGGCTCCCTGCCAGAGCCCCCCCCTTCCCCCTGCAAAGCCGCCCCGTCGCTGGATGAATCCGGCCGGCTGAGTTTATACAACACCGGAGTAGCCAAAAACCGGTGGAAAAGTCGGGACGGGTCCTCGGCTTACGACCAGAATCCAGAGCTTAGGTTGCTAAGCGAGACCGTTCTCTAAGCGGATTTGTGCCCCGTTCCATGACCTTTCTTGGCACGGTGGTCGTTCAGTGAATCTGGCCTGTCAGAAGGCCGCCAAAGGGGATCACGTCACCCCGGGACGCTGCGACCGTCATAAACCTGAGCCGGTTGCCTAATTTGGATCAGGGGGAGGCCACAGCGGTCGCAAGTGTGGAAAAACAGCCCTTTTTTCTCAGTGAAGTTGTAACTGTGGATGGTCACTAAGTGAATCGTCGTTAAGTCGAGGACTACTTCTGTCCAACGGGCGAACCCACCAAGGGTGAAATGGAAAATGGGTTCAGGGTTTCAGTGCCCCTCCGCCCCCAAAAAAACGACCAGGGGTCTTCACAGCTGCTTCCTCCCCAAAAGCCCCCAAGTCTCCCCATACTTTCTGGGGGGAAGGGGCTGCCTCTGCCCCCCTCGACTCCTGGGGGGCTCAAGTCCACCCCCAGGGAAGGAACTAAGGGGGGCAACCCTTGTGAGAAGGGGCCATTTAGGGTGGGGGTCTCTTTAGCCAAGATTGGGGTAATCCAACCGTGGCCCCTTTAAGATCGGTGGACTTCAACTCCCAGGACTTGATTAGTATATTTTTAATGAATTAAATATTTCTCTTTTTTTTTGTAAAAAGTTTTTTGTTCTTATCTTTTACAAACATCTCCTTTGGTGAACAACGTGGCTTCAGGATTTTACATTTCCATGCAAACATGACCGTAATTACATATTTATCCTATTCAAGTTTCGTATCGTTACATTTTCCATCTTCTGTGAATTTTCACAAATATTCTTACATTTTCACACTTATTTTATCCATTTTCAATGAATTAAATATTCTATTATCCACTTGCGTAAGACAATGAGAAAGTTTGATAAATTTGGCTAAAAGAAAATAAGAGGAAAAATGTATTTGTATAAAAATGAGACGTTAAGGGGAAGGAAGGACACTGAAAACAGAAATATATGTAGCGGAGGCAAATATAATAATGGAAAGAGGAACCATTAAGGGATAACCACAAATTAAGATGAAATTTTGAATGATTAATGAAATGATATGAATAAACATGTAGAATATATGATTAAGGAAGATCGAGAATGAATAAAAATAAGGAGGCTGATACAAAGGAATTTATGAGAATATCAAGAAGAAAAAAATGATAATAGATAACGAAGTGATGTTAGAAAGTAGTATTTGTGACTGTAGATATGACTGATTTAAAATGTAAAGCGCCTGGAACCAGACTGTTCTTGCAAAGATGTATTTAAATCATTAAAAAATTGGCACAAAATTGGCACAAAAAAAAAAAAAAAGCCCCGTGGACTTCAATTCCCAGAATTCTTGGGGAATTCTGGGCGTCGAAGTCCACAGGCCTTAAAGGGGTCACGGCTGATAAATAATTCCCAGGTGAAATTAAATAAGAGAGACCCCAGGTTGACGTCAGTCCATCTGGGGGGGGTGCAACAGCTGGAATCCTGGGTGAAAACACCTGGAGGGGGAAAGCAGCCAAGCAGGCCCCCCACCTCGCCGTCCGGGCCCCTCGAGACTCACCTGGCGACCTCGTCCTGCAGGTTCTGGGTGGCTGCCGCCTCCTCCTCCAGCCGCCGGGTGAGCCCCAGCTGTTCCTCCTCCCGCTGCTCCAGCCGCTCTTCCGAGGACGCGACTTTTTCCAGAGCGGCCTGGAGGTCTGTGGGCAGAGGGCAGAGGTCAAGCTGCCCCCCCACCCTTGGTGGGAAGGCCCCCCCCCCCGTCCTTAGAAAGGGTCTTGTTCCGCCCCCCCCGCAACGAGAGTCAGCTTTGGCCTCCGCCACCTGGGGTCAAAAGCCCCAGGAGCGAAGCTTTTGCCGCCTCTCTGCTCCAGGCGCAGCCTTGCTGGGCCCGCGCCACAATTCCCGGCGCCTGCTTTGGGCTGGTGCCCATCGCGGGGCGGCTCACCTCGGTCCAGCCGCGTGTTCGTCTCCACCAGCTCGTTCACCCGGCCCAGTGCTACAACCAGCTCTACCGTCGTCTCCTCCAGCTTCCGGCACACCTGCAGACGTTCGTGGAGGGCATGGGCTTTGTAGTCCCTGCCTGTCTGAAGCCGTCTGCCACGACCGCGGGACCCTCCAGGGCGTGAGCCCAGAGACGCCTGGATACGGGGCCTGCTCCATCCTGCCCTCCCCCCTTCCCAAGGGGCCGTTTTGCCAACTGGGGGGGGAGGGGCAGGTCCAGGAGACCCCTGCTAAAGGAGGAAAAGAGGGGGTCCCCCTGCGTGCACCCCACCCCTTCCCTGTAGAGGGGGCACCTTCCAGGGTCCGGATCCCCAGAAGCTACACTAGTTACGCAGAACGATTGATGGGGAAGCGTGAAAGCAGCTCAAAGGATACAAGTCAGTCCTTGACTTCCGACCGCAATGGAGCCCAAATTGTGTGTTACGAAGTGAGACATCCGTCAGGTGAACTTTGCCGCATTCTAACGACCTTTCCTGGCCACAGTTGTTAAGTGGATCGTACCCATTGCTAAGTGGGTGACATGGTTGTTAAGTGGGTATGGCTTCCCACCATTGGCTTGCAAAAGGGGATATCCCGGGACTCCCCGCCCCCCAGGAACACTGCGACCGTCATAAATACGAACAAGTTGCCTGATTGTGTGACCCCAGGGATGCCGCAACGGTTGTAAGTGTGAAACATGGTCATAATAAGCCAATTTTTTCAGTGCTATAATTTCAAACGGTGAAAGTCAACAGAAGAAATGAGACTCACTTCACAAACCGCTTTGCTGACTTAACCCCTGCAGCAATTCACTTAGCAACCGTGACAAGGAAGGGCGTAAAAGGGCACAAAACTCACTTAGTGACTGTCTCGCTTAGCAATGGAAATTTCAGGCTCCATTTGCGGTCATAAGCTGAGGACTACCTGTACATCTGGTACAGCAAAGTGGGAGCACAACCCAGGTGGGTCTCATAAGGGCGGAAACAGCCCCCCCCAGTCCGTTCTGCAGCCCCCCCGACCCCTTCCCCCCCCCCTTAAAAGGGGCCCCTTGCCTCTTGGTGCTGGGCGCTTTCAGTCCGGGCAGCCTTGACCTCCTCCGCCATCTTCCGGTGGGCCAGCAGGCATTTGCCGACGATGCTGCGGTAGCCTTGGTACTGTGGGGGGAGGGGGGGGAGACCGGGAAGCCCCCCTGTCAGCACAGGGAGGGGTCAGGATTCCAGCAGTGACCCCCCATTGAAATCCTGAGTCTTGAGCCAAACTTCCAAAAACTTCCAAAGGATTTATTGGGAGTTAACACGCCGGCATTGCCTGGGTGCAGCCGACTCCGAGGCACATCATTCACTGTCACCCTTGACCCTGGTTTTTGCCCCCCCCCACACACCCCTGGGTGTATCATAATTTAGATTCTCCAATGGGACACCTCCATAGCCCAGAGCCATCAATCAGGCTCTCCAGTTAGATATTTCTGCGGCAGAAACTTCGGTCACCTAGAAACTATCTTTGAAAAAACATTTATGGAATGCGCTTTCAGTTTGCAAGCTGCCGCACTGCTCCCCCCCCCTTTCTTTCTGCTATGGCCACTCTAAAGAGACCAGAGAAATATTTCATGAGTTGACAGGAGGCTCCAGGAGGGGGCCGGGTGGGGGTGGGGGGTTCAGCGAGTCGCACTCACGTCCAGCCGCATCCGCGCCCAGTCAGCCTGCAGGGCTGCTGCGAGGGTGTCCCCTTCGGCCACGTGGCGGCCCAATCCGGCCAAGAGATCCACCTGCAAAGGGGGGGGGCAGAGGGCGCTGCAGACATTGGAGGGAGCAAGCCAGACCCCCCCTGCCTGCCCAGAGCCCCCCCAACCCTCCCCCGTCACCCCACCTGGAGCCCCTTTGCCTCCTGCAGCTGGGACCACAGGCGCTGCCGGGACGCGGCACACAACTCCAGCGTCCGGATCTTGGCGGCAGCTTCGGCCTGCACCGATTCCCGGACCAGGTTGGCCTGCAAGGGAAAAGGGGGGCCGAGTGAGAGGTCTCCGTCCGAGCCCCCCTACCCCAGGCCCACCGGACCTGACACAGGCGGTTCTTGACTGACGAGCGCAAGGCAGCCCTAAATTTCGGTCGCCAGGGGAGCTTTGCTGCCCTTTACGAACTTTCTTGCCACCGTTGTTAAGCGCATCAGTGGGATCGTTCAGCCCGGGGTCTCCAAACTCGGCCACTTGAAGCTATTGCGCCACCTCACATCAACCTGGGGGGGGTCTCTTCTCATTTAATTTCCCCCGGGTGGCCCCTTTAAGACCGGCGGACTTCGACTCCCAGAATTCCCCAGCCAGCTCTGCTAACGACCTGAACTCTGGATGCTGCGACCGTCCTAAAGAGGAGCCAGTTACATCACACCCACCCAAGGATGCCCGGACGGTCGTACGCGTGAAAAGGCCCCCATGCCTACTTTGGTCACTCCACGAAGCGTTGTAGGTCCAAGGATCACCTGCGCAGGCCCACACCTGGGGCAGCGGATGGGCAGCCAAGGACGGACCCCCCTCCCAACAGCCCCTGCAATTCTGCCCCAGGCCCAGCGTTTCCCACCCACCCCCCAACTCCATGGGAGGGGTCCTTGGGGGGGGGAGGGCTGGAGGCCTCTGGCTGCCATCTTGGAGCTTCCAGCCGGGCTCAGCTTTGGGGGGGAGTGTGGGGGGGGGAGAAGAGGGGCCCCATGCCCGCCTCTCCTACCGCGTCTTTCGCCTTCAGGGCCGCCTCCAGCTCCTGGGCCAACACCTGCTGCTTCTGGCTCCAGTGCTGCACCTGGTCCCTGGCCCGAGCCAGCAGCCGTCCCATCTGCTTCTGCTACAGGAGGGGAACGGGGGGGGGGGGTATGGGGCCGGGGGAGGGAGGGAGGGAGGGAGGAAAAGAGAGGGAGGAAGAAGAGAAGGAGGGCAGAAGGGTGAAAGAAGAGGTAAAGGGAACGAAGGGAATAGGAAGGGAGGAATAAAAGGGTGAAACGAGGGAGGAGAAGGAAAGAGATGAGACAGACGGAAGGAAGGAAGGAAGGAAGGAAGGAAGGAAGGAAGGAAGGAAGGAAGGAAGGAAGGAGAGGATGGGAGGGAGAGGGAGGCAGGGAAGGAAGGGGGACGGAGGGGATGGGAAGAGAAAAAGGGAGGGAAGGAAAGGAAGGAATGAGAGGATGGGAGGGAGGGAAGGAAGGAAGAGTGAAAGGAAGGTGGAAAAGAAAGGAGGAAGGAAAAGGAAGGAAAACAAAGAGAATTAAGGAAGGAAGGAAGGAAGGAAGGAAGGAAGGGAGGAAGGAAGGAAGGGAGGAAGGAAAGGGAAAGACAGCAGTGAGATTAGCACTCGCACAATGTTCGAAAGGGGATTCTATGCCGACAGATAGTTTAATTATCCAAAATATTTTTGATTGCGTGGAAATGGACAAACTTTCATTAGAATTAAAATAGAAGGAAGACTCAGATTATTATACAGTTTGGGAAAGTTGGTATCATTGGATAAATAATAGAAACAAGCAATTAAGTAAATAAGGAATGTAAAATTTAGAAAGAAGTAGATATAAAGAAGATACTACGCATGCATCACATCAAGACTGCCTTCAAAACAGACAGAAAAACAGCAGCCATCCTTAGAAACCCCAAAGGTAAAATTGACCTGGAAAACCAAGGCATATATGAAGTCCCCTGCGCATCATGCCCGGCCACATACATTGGACAGACCAATAGAAGAATAAGTACCCACCTGGATGAACACAAAAATGCAGTAAAAAAAGCTGGAACACACTTCCTCACTAGTCCAACACATGGAAGCCACAGGTCATAGCATCGACTTCAATGGCACCCAAACCCTAGCCACTATAGAAAACCCCAGCCACAGAATCATCAGAGAAGCCATAGAGATTGAAAAAAGACCTGAAAGCATGAATAGAAGAGATGATTCCACCAGACTGTCAATTTATCTGGAAGCCTGCACTCACAAACACAAAAATCTCCACACCACAAGCCAGGCCAACACCTGGGCACAAACAGACCCCCCGACACCTCCAGCTCAAACACACCCCAGCCAGGCACCCAGATGAAACCTAGCTTCCTAATAAATGATAGCCGTCCATTTACTCGGAGCCAAGCCGCACTAAAAGCCTCCAATACAGGAACACAATGTTGCCAGCCAATCAAGACACAAAAAGAGCCACAAAACAGACAGAAGATATTAGAAACACCAATCAAGCAGAACACAGCGAACTACAAGACCAATAAACACAGACCAAGACTCCCAACCAATCAGGATGAAGAAAAAACCATTCTGGCACAGCAGTAGGCTAGCCCCAAATTTAAAACAGAAACGGCTGTGAAAGTCTGACTTACAGACGAACACAACACAGAAGCCTGGTGATGGCAGATGAGATTCTGCCGAAACGTTGCTACAACTTTAAAAGCACAACTACAATGATGTGGGAAAATACCCGAACAAAGCTGAATACCATTAGGAGTATAAAATAGGCACTGGAATAACAGTTGAAGTGTAAGCACTGTCAAAATGGATTGTAATATACACAATACTTTCATTTTAAATATTTGTATTGTAGTTTGTGTTTTAATGTTTTAAATTTTCAATAAAGGTTATAAAAAAAAGGAAAGGGTGGGGAAAGGGAGATGGAGGGAAGGAAGAACAAGAGTGAAAGAGGAAGGAAAGGAAATGGAGGAAGAAAGCGTGAAAGAGGAAAGGAAGAGAGGAAGGAAGGAAGGGCCACTCCCCACCGCCACGGGTTGCTCACCTGCTGGCCGAGTGACCTCCGGTCCTCCTGGAGGTGCTGGAAGGAGCCGTCCACCGTGGCCTGGAGCTGCCTGGATTCGGACGTCCAGGCCCTCTGCAGAGGGAGGAGAGGGGAGGTGTTGGGCTGGGCAGCGGGGGGAGGAAGTGGCCCACCGGAGATTAATCCCCCAGGCCGCCCAGCAGGGCACCCTCCATGGCTGGCATACTCCAGGAATAGTGGCCACAGCGACTGTGGCCGGGAAAGGGAGGCTGCAGCAGGAAACAAGGGGCCCCTGGATCTTCGGACCCCTGACCCCCCTCCCCACGCCCAACTAAAAAACAAACAAACTCCTTTGGTCTTTTTTAAGGGAGGGGGGAAAGTAGTGCATTCCTTAAATGCTTCATTGTGCACGAGCTCGCGTGCCACACCCAGAAGACAATGTGCACGCCCCCCTCCCCCCGCTTCCTTACCTGCACTGCGCCTCTCAGCTGATATTCGGCCCATTTGAGGCCTTTCTCGGCCTCCCAGAGGCTTGAGGAAAGATTCTGCAGGCCGAAAAATGGGCCCGTTTGGTCACTTCCGGTATTTCCTCAAGCCTCTGGGAGGCCGAAAAAGGCCTCAAACAGGCCGAAAATCAGCTGTGAGGTGCGTCCATGTGCAGTGAGGTAATTTTGCCTGCAGCTTGCATGCCGGCACATATGGCTCTATGTGCGACTTGTGGCACGCGTGCCCTAGGTTCACCATCACAGCCCCACAGAGACACCCCGTGACCAATCGGTCACTAAGGAATTGGCTGTAAGGCAAGGACCACCCGTAGAGGGTTTCTGTGCGCAGCTGAGGCCCAACAGGGAAAGCGAGGGTCCTGCCCCCCACCCTCCCCAGTCCCTTCCCCAAGATTGAGCCCGGGCCTGGGTACTTGCCATCTCCTCGTTGGCGCCCTCCAGCCGCTGGACAAGGCCCTGCAGGTTCTTCTGGCTATCCTGCAGGGAGCGGAAGCGCAGCCGCAGGTCCAGGTAGAGGTCGTGGTAGAGTCGCTCCTCCGCCTGCCAAAGAAGACACCCCCCCCAAAAAAAGACCCTCAGGACAGCCGGAGGGAGACCCCAGGTGCCGGGGGTGGGTGGGTGGACAGGACAGGGGGGCTGCCAGGAGTAAACGGGACTGTCAGGCCTGTCTCGGCCCTGAGCACCTGAGAAAGAGAGACTCTCGACTCCCCTTTGTGGCAGAAGGGACAGGCAGTCCTGGACTTACAATCACTTCGTTTAGTGGCCATTCAAAGTTACAACGGCACAGAAAAAAGTGAGTTACGACTGTTTTTCAGAACAGTGGCAGCAATCCCCATTTGGCTGCTTGGCAAATAAGGAATGTCACTGTCTTAGTGGACCATTCAGAGTTGATTGTTTTTTCGCACTTACGGCTGTGGTTGCAGCATTCCCCGTAGTCGCCCGATCAAAAGCCAGACACTTGGAAACTGGCTTGTGTTTATGACGGTCGCAGCATCCTTCCCACTACCCCCAGGCCTTCCATGCCCGCCACGAACGGCCCTTGACTCACAACCACAACTGAGCCCGAAATTTCTGTCGCTAAGGGAGACACTTGTTAAAGTGAATTTTGTCTCATTTTGCAACCTTTCTTGCCACTGTTAAGTGAATCACTGCAGTTGTTTAGTCAGATGGTTGTTAAGTGAATCTGGCTTCCCTAGTGACTGGGTTGCTGGGGCCGGTGGGGGGTGGGGTGGGTGGGAAGGAAATGGGGTGTGTGTGATTTTGTTATATTGTACTATATTAATTTATTTAATTCTTTTTGTTAGTTTTTATTGTTTTAAATGTGGTTTTATATTCTCTAAGCCGCCTTGAGTGAATAGGTGGCAATATAAATTCAACAAATACATAAACAAACAAATAAAATAAATAGGAGTCACATGACCCCCAGGATGCTTGCGACTGTCATAAACACGAGTCGGTCTCCAAGGGGAGGGGTGGAGAAATCTCGGGGAGGAAGGGGCTTCTCCACCCTTCGACTGCAGCAGAGGGCCCAAACCTTGCCCACTTTAGGACTTGTGGACTTCAATTCCCGAAATGTTTACTACGTGAATGTTATATGTGGAAACTACATCTTGTAAGTTACACCTGAGAAAATGAAGAACAGAAGAGATTCCACGTTTATCCAATACTTGACCTGTGCAACGATTACCGGACAGTTATATAAGTGGATCTAATGAACACATGATGTTTGGTCACTTGTTATGTTTTGAAAGTAAAATGTCAAGTTCTTGGCTGAAATAGCGGTTCGTAATGTTGGCTTACAGATACTGGTGAGTCGCTAGGTCACCCTGAGCCAGCAGAAACCTCTTAATGATCCATTCTGCTTGGATGGACATAACAGGAAGACACGGCCGTGAGGACGAGGGTAGTTTCCAAGGACAAGGAAACAGGTGTTACGCTACAATAATAGGGGAGATATGTAGCTTGGGTAGAGTGTGAACCCAGGAAAGGGGCAGAGACTGTATATTTGAGCCTGTATATAAACCCCGGCCCTCCTGGGGAAAATGGTTTCTGTCCACGGACAGAATTCCCTTTGGCAAAAGCTTCATAATGAAACTTTTCCATATTGTTCACGTGTCTCTGGCTGTTTTTTGTAATTATCATCACAGTGAACCACGGGAATGCTGAAAACAACAGTCCTAAGTGCAGAAAAGTCTGAAGCTGGTCACTAAATGAACTGTCGTCAATTGAGGAGTACCTGTACACTTCTGCAATCCCTTTCACTTCGTGGGGGGCGGGGGGGGAGGAATCTTCCTCTCATTTCACCTGCAGGCGGCTTTTTTTTTTTAACCGTGGCCACTTTAAGACTTGTGGACGTCAACTCCCAGAATTCCTCAGCCAGCTGTGCTGGCTGGGGAATTCTGGGAGTTGAAGTCCAGAGGCCTTAAATTGGCCACGGTTGGAGACCCCTGACCTGCAGTCTCAGCTCTTCATCCCCCTGAGCTGTTGGGCTTTTGGAGGAGGGGCCAGGGCCCCAAATCATGAGTCCTTGAGCAGAGACGGACCGGGGAGACCCTGCCCCCTCCCAGCCGCTCCCAGGCAGAAGGAACAACCTCCTCGTCCTCATGAAGGCCGAACAGAAGAGGAGCAAAGGGAGAACTGACGAGCCTGACCTGCCCATCAAGCCCACCGGTCACTCTCCTGCGTCCCCCCTCCTCCCCCCCCAAGCTCACCTGGCTGGACTCGGCGGTGGGGGTCTGGGTGGCCGCCTCCCTCTGGTCCGCTGGCCCCACGGGGGCTGCCGATGGCCGGAAGCCTTGGGCAGCCCGGATCTGGTACGAGAGGGCCTCCATGATGATGAGGGTGCTCTCCAGGCGCCCCTCCAGCTCCGCCCGGGAGAGAAGGCCCAGCTGGTCCCGGGAGCAGCTGAGGAGACAGGAGCCCCCCCACTCAATCCGGGCCGGGGAGGGGGTGTCAGCCCCCAGGCCACGGGTGCGAAGGGGTGATGGCTGTGGAAGAGGAATGCCTCTGGGAGGCCTTGACTCTCCAACTGACCCCTGCACCCGTCCTGGAATTTCAGGGGACCCCCACCCACCTTCTCCCCAAACGTAGCCCCTCTCTGGGCTCTCACCAAGACGAAGGTAGACCCTTTTCTATAAGCCCTCTAACCAGGTTAGTCTAGGCTTCCTCCACAGCGGCACCTTTATGATGAATGGACTACAACTCCCAGGATTCCCCAGCCAAGCAGGGGAATTCTGGGAGTTGCAGTCTACCCATCTTAAAGTGATGTGGGCAAGAACTTACGGCTGTGGCCTCATTGCAAAATACAACAAGAGTTAAATTACGGGCTGTTGCAACCACTTGCGGAAGCCAGTCGCAAGAGTGGAAAAACGGAGAGGTGGTTTGCTCTGGAGGCGACCTAGAAACCGGGCGACGGGGCGTTCTAGTCCAGACTTAGGCAGGAAAACTAACGGGGTGCCATTGGCACAGCCCCTCTTCCATGCACGTCGACCCACCTCACAGGGTAATACAGCTGGGTGAAAAACCGTCATAAATCTGTGCCCGGCGCCCTGGAATGACTGGGACACGCCCATGATAACCCCCGCCTCAGTTTGGGCGCCCTCCTTCCCTGCCCACCCACCCCCACACCTCATCCCCTCCTCTCCCTTCCCTTAAACTCCCCAGCAAGAGCCAGAGGAGGGAAATTGGCACGGCCGCCTCAGTTTCCCTCCTGGCCGCAGCCTTGAAGGGCTCAGGGGAGGGAGGCAGCGCCCGCTGTGCCCCAGGCTCTGCCCGCAACACTTACTGCCAGAGAAGGGAGTCGGTCTCGGCTGTGCTGTCCGTGGTGGCGGCCTTCTCCGCAGGGGAGGTGTTCACGCCAGCCTCCCGCAGGCTCAGCTGGGAGGTCCCGGCAGCCACAGAGACACGGGCGACGCCAGCGCCCCGATCCTGCTGGGGGAGGCCGCCAAAGGGCATGCAGGCGTGGGCACAGGTGAGGCAGGGAGGGTGGGTGCTCGTCCCTTGGGGGCCTGGCCAAGAGGGCTCCTTCCCTGCCGGAGAGACCCCCAGCCCATCGCCCAGGAGGCTCAGAGGAGACCCCCACAGGCCGTGGCACCTGCAGCCCGGCAGGGAGATGCGGGCAGTGCCCGGGTCCTGGCACACGACAGGCAAGTCCTGGCCCTCCGGGGAGGCCTCTGTGGCAGCCAAACGGGGCGGGGCGATGGCCCCAGCCTGCTCCAAGGGGGCAGGGCTCTCCTCCTCCTCCTCCTTTGGCCCCGAGTCCTGGCCGCTGGGGGGGCTTGCCCAGGCTCCTGCAGACAGCCCCCAAACAGGCGTGCTGGTACGATGGTCCTGCCCCAAGGCTGGGCTCAGGGAGGGGCTTCTGCGAGAGCCCAGGGGGGCAGGGCTGGCCGTGGCCCCGAGCTCAAGGGCCCGGATGGCCCCCTCTTCTTCCTCCTCCTCCTCCTCCTCCTCCTCCTGCTGCTGCTGCTGGGGCCTCCCTACGGAGAGGCCTCGTCGGAGGTCGGCCAGCATGGGCGAAGCGGGCAGCAGCTGCTCCAGCCAGTCCAGGGGAGCCGTCCAGGAGATGGCACCAGGTGCGGGGGATCCGTTGGGCCCCTTCTGGGCAGAGGAAGCCGCGGGGTCCTGCGGTCAAACAGGGGGGGGGATAAGGCGGGGGGAGGGCGGGACACCCAACTCCCAGCCGCCACGGCGGGGGGGGGGGAGCCGAGGGGGGGGGGCGGGCCGCCCCCCCCCCGTGCTGCCCTGCAGGGCGGGTTGGGGGGGGGGGGGGAGGAAACCATGGCAGGGGAGGGGAGGCAGGCGGCACAAACTTTCTAGTCCTCAAGACTTTCAGGGCCCCCGCAGCCCAGCAGGCGCCCCCCTTCCCCAATTCAGCGCCCCTCCAGATGTTTGGGGCTCCAGATCGGGGTGGGTGGGGTCTCCAGCCTGGGCCGCTCAAAGCCTGGCGGACTTCCACCCCCAGAATCCCCCAGGGCCGAGAGCCCCGCGCCAGATCCAACCGCTGGGACTGCCAGGCCCCGCACTCACCGGGCCGCTCCCGGTCGGGGGCCTCGACTCGGCCATGCCGGGCAGCGAAGGACTTTCTTCTTTTTTCCTTTCCATTTTTTTTGAATGAAACCGCCGCCGCCGCGCGGCTCTTAATTGGCTGCGTGACGTCACGACTTTGGGTGGAGGGCGAGGCCCGCCGCGAAGCCGCGCCCCCAACGGGGCCCTTTCGGGACGCTGATTGGCGGAGACGCTGCAGTTTCCGAAGACGCGTGCGCGCCCCCACCTCTCTCTCTCTCTCGCTCTCTCTCTCTTTCCCCCCCTTTTTTTCTTTCCTTTCTCCCTTTCCTCTCTCCTTTCTCTCCTTTTTTTTCTTTCTTTTTCTTCTCTTTCCTTCTTTTCTCTCACCTCTTTCTTTCCTTTTTATTTTTCCTTCTTTCCTCTTCTCTCTCTTTCCTCTTTCTCTCCTTTTTTCCTTTTTCTTTCTTTCTCTTTCCTTTTCTCTCTCTCTTTCCTTTTTATTTTTCTTTCTTTTTCTCTTTCCTTCTTTTCCCCCTCTCTCTCTCTCCCCTTTTTATTTTTTCTTTCTCTTTTCTTTCTTTATTCTTTCTCTTTCCTCTCTCCTTTCTTTTTCTTTCTTTCTTTTTCTTTCCTTCTTTTCGCTCTCTTTCTCTCTCTTTCCTTTTTATTTTTCTTTCTCTTTTTTCTTTCTTTCCTCTTTCCTCTCTCCTTTTTTCTTTTTTTCTTTTTCTTTCCTTCTTTTCTCTCCTTTCTTTCCTTTTTATTTTTCTTTCTTTCCTCTTTCTCTTTCCTCTCCTTTCTTTTTCTTTCCTTTTTCTCTCTTTCCTTTTCTCTTTCTTTCTTTCCTCTTTCTCTTTCCTCTCTCCTTTCTTTTTTTCTTTTTCTTTCCTTTTCCTCTTTCCTTCTTTTCTCTTTCTTTCCTTTTTATTTTTCTTTCTTTCATCTTTCTTTCATCTTTCTTTCTTTTTCTTTCCTTTCTTTTTCTTTCTCTCCTCTTTTCTTCTCTCTCTGTTCTTTTTTTTTTTCATTCTTTCTTCTTTCCTCTCTCCTTTCTCTTTTTTCTTTTTTTCTTTCCCTTTTCTTTTTCTTTTCCTTTCCTTCTTTTCTCTTTCTTCCCTTTTTATTTTTCTTTTTCTCTTTTCTTTCCTTTCTCGTTCCTCTCTTTTTCTTTTTCTTTCCTTTTTTCTTTCTTTTTCTTTCCTTCTTTTCTTTTTTCTTTCTCTCCTTTCTCTTTCCTCTCCTTTCTCTCCTTTTTTCTTTCTTTTTCTCTTTCCTTTTCTCTTTCTCTCCTTTTTATTTTTCCTTCTTTTCTTTCCTCTTTCTCTCTCTTTCTTCTCTCCTTTCTTTTTTCTTTCTCTTTTTCTCTTTCCTCTCTTTTTCTTTCTCCCTGTTTTTCTTTCTCTCTCCTCTTTTCTTCTCTTTCTCTCTCTCTTCTCCCCACTTTCCGAATCTTAGGAATACTCCAACACGTGTCTGGCGGCTCCCAATGGGTGTGAGTCAACGTTATTTCTACATAGCAGCCGGGGGGATTGCCTGGAGCTAGAGACGGGAGGGCCTTTTCCCGGGGCTAGAGAGATGTGAGGCGAGATGTGAGTCGTGGGAATCCTCCAACACCCGTCTTGAACAAACGTTATTTTCCTGCCACAGAAAGGATCCTTATCTCTGGGGCCAGAGAAGTGAAGGTGAAGGAGTTGAGAATTTGTAGATAAAATTACTTCACAAATGTTTAGTTTTTTACTACCATCTTGTAACGTGGGAATGAAACGAAAGGAGGTTGCCCAGAAAACCAGATGTGCGCAAGTCATTAACCACAAGGTCAGGGGCTGTCCCAGAAGGGAGGGAATTGGCTTGGTCCCCAAAGCCCCCGAAGAAGGCTGGACGAGAAGCAACGGATGGAAACTGACCAAGGAGAGAGGAGCAACCTGGAATTAAGGAGAAGCTTCTTCACGGTGAGGACAATTAACCAGTGGAACTGCTGGCCACCAGAAGTTGTGGGGGCTCCATCACTGGGTGTGTGTGTGTTATAATAAGAGACTGGGCATCCCTTTGCCAGAAGTGGGATAGGGTCTCCTGCTTGAACAAGGGGTTGGACTAGAAGACCTCACGGGTCCCTTCCAACTCTCCGTTACATCTCTGGGTGATACGGGTGGGTGGGGTGATTTTTGCATCCAGTCTTCTCGTGTCCTTTTTTCCCTCTATTGAACTTCAGATAAAACGGACAGCTCAGCCTTGGTCTCAGTTTCCCACTTTGGAGAGAGAAACTTTTTAGCCGAAACGCCACTAATAAAAAAAATCGTTCGAAATGTTTTTTTCCGACTCAAGTGACCAATTGGAGCGAGTGTGCAGAGAGAAAGACTCTTAGGGCAGGTGGGTGAGCGGGCTAGGGCCATTTGATGACCCGTGGACTTCAACTCCCAGAAGCCCTAGAGCCTCCCAGGGAATTCTGGGAGTCGAAGTCCGCAGGTCCTTAAAGGAGCCACAGTCGTCCCGTGTTTCCCCCCCCACCCTTCTAAGGCCAATTTGGATCCGCAAATGTTCCCTCTGCACTGGAGGAAGACAGAAGATGCCAAAGGACACTTTTTAGCAAATTCTTTTATTGCTTTGAACTAACGGGAATATATATGTGTGTGTGTGTGTGTGTACGCGTGTGCTAACATAAACTGTGATACAACATCAACATAAGTGGGGGAGGAAGAAGAAAAACTAAATCCTAAACAGAAAAAACTGCTCAGAATCCAGCAAGGGGATTCATTCTTTCTGCTGGTTGTGCTTTTAAGCAACTTAGGCAAGGATGAGACCACAGGTGTCAAAGGGTTGGGATTTTAAGACCTGTGGACTTCAACTCCCAGAATCCCTAGAGCCTCCCAGGGAATTCTGGGAGTTGAAGTCCACACGGCTTAAAAGTTCCTAGCTTGGACCCCCCCCTGGATTAGAAGGAGCTATTTATTCCATACACCCTGAGTAGCACCCCCAGACCCTGAGCACTGATCCCCCCACCCACACCAAGACCAAGCAGGGACCCCGGCAGAGACCCCCAAAAGGGACTTCCGGTGTGAGTCGGAGGGCAGAACCCACTGCCAAGCAGGGACGCAGCCTGTAAACTGGTAAAAAGACAACTGAAGCCCAATAGTCCTCGACTTACGACTGCAATTGAGCCCTGCTGCTGAGTGAGGCCGTTGCTGAGTGAGTTTTGACCCTTTTCGACGTCCTTTCCTGCCCAGGGTTGCTAAGTGACTCCCTGCAATGCTTCAGCCCACGGCTCTTAAGTGAACCTGGGCTCCCCGTGGACGGTTTAAAAGCCAGGAGAGTTCCTCAACTTACGACCAGAATCAAGCCCCAGATTTTCTGTTGCTCAGCAAGACCGTTGCGAAGTGAATTTTTGCCCCGTTTCATGACCCTCCTTGGCACAGTTGTGTCACTGCCGTTGTTAAGTTAGTCAGCTGGTTGTTAAGTGAATCTGGCTTGGCCCATGGCGGAAGGGGATCGTGGGAGTGGGAGACTGCAGCCCGTCGTAAATACGAGTCGGTTGCCAAGCACCTCAAGCTTAATCACGTGATCACGGGGATCGTAAGTGTGAAAACTGGTCCTAAGTCCTGTTGTAATTCCAAACAATCGCTAAGTCGAGGACTCCCCGTATCAATATCCAAATAGTAGGAAGAAGAGAATGGTCCCATCCTTCGGACTGCCCTGCTCCCATCCTGCTCTGCCAATCTGCCTCTTACAGATGGACAGAGTCAGAAGGGACCTTGTAGGTCATCTAGTCCAACCCCCTGCCCCAAGCACCCTTTCTGACGTTGCTGGTCCCCAAACCCACCCCAAACCCTCCCAAAAATGCACCAGGAGGGCTGGAGAGAAGGAAACCCGGTGC